TAAAATGTGTAAATCAAAATATCTAACAAACAAATAATGAATTACCGATATTATATCCAGTAAATTAATATTGGGCGAAGTAAAATGTTTTGAGCCATATCTCACGATGTATACGTTGCATTTTATCTTTCTATACTGCGACTTAAAAGCGACATAACGCTTTAAAGAAAGTACGTTGACAGTTGTGTGTTTAGTGAATCCAGTTGAGTGTTAGAGCGTTCCAAAACAAAATGTGTTGTTTATGGACCCAATATAGTATCGAATACAACAGCAAAGCAGACGTCGAAGATGAGACACGCGATAAAATCATGGAAATCGCCGAGTCTGACCGGCATGCAAGCACTTATTGCATTGCCCAGGAACTGAAGATTAGCCAGAAGACCCGTTGGAACCATTTGTATAAGGCTGGTCTCAAGAAAAAGCTCGATGTATGGGACAAAACGCTCAGAAATTCTTACTTTACCCAATATTTTAATGGCATTTGTTACTTTTATCGCATCAAGTGTATCTACTCACGCAATTTAGTGATGTAACAGGCTTCATTATAAGCCTATTATTTATGTCATTTAATCTATAAAATATGAAACCTAGTTGTGGAAATCAATAATGATGAAACAAAATTTTACACTATCGAATTTCATTGAAAAACTCATGCAATAATTCCATTATGTTTGATAATTTTACTTTTTAAAACTGGAATAAAAAACATTTTATTTGACACGTTATATCCATAAATTCTATTAATTTATTTTTTGTGACCTGTTCTTTTATAAAAAGCTGTATTTTCAGAGATAAATTATCTGAAGCTAGATTAAAATCTCATTAATTAACGTCGCCTTTTGTATGCTTTTGTATGTCTGGGACTGCTGGATTACAGAGACATTTTCGCTGTTTTTTTAATTTTATTTATCTTTATTCGAAACTTGTAATTTACATTATTGTATGAATGATGTAAATATCGTCGATTTAAATTAATAACTCGGCTTTTGCTGCATTTGTTTGCGAAATTAATTGGATTTTCCTCGCGATTAACGTCGAATTACATAAAAGCAGTTTCTGGCCGATAACAAATTTCCATTTACTGTGCCGAAGTGGGAGATGGTTTAAAAATGGAATTGGCTTACACGTGGCCACATCCATTTTCGACCTTACTGATATTTCGTGCGTGCTATTAGACCGTGCAGAAATTGAATTTTCCGACCTCCCCCGTTCATTTGTCCAACGATACGGATATTTGGTAATTATTTAATTATATTTCGATACATTTCTGCCTGTAAGCGAGATATGGCCATCAGCGTTCATTTATTTGTTTTCAGGACCGTTTTGTGTCCGCAGCAGATGAATTTCCCATTAATTTCTCACATTGATTAAAAAAAAACAAAAGCGTGAATTCAAAAAGTTTTGTTTTCTGCTAGATTTATTTGCAGATTTATAATCCAAATGCTTTTTGTTTTGATAGTCTATTATTACTATAATTAACATTGTTTTTTTATACAAATACATTATTGTAATTATTCACAAAATACACAATTTCAGTCTTTTTGTGCAGTATTGGTGCAATAAACTAGAACATTAGACAAACAACATCAATAATTTCTTATACAAACTGTTATATAACAAACAACAAATTAATATATAAAATTTTAATTCACTTCAACATTTCTTTTTAAATGTTAAAAATAAACATATAGAAATTACAAAACATTAAAAACAACACATATTACCTAATTGTGAAAAAAAATAATGTAAACCAATTAAATTCTAGTATTTTATATACAAAAATATTTGTATTCGCAAAATATATAAGACTGAATTTAGAATTGGAAATATGTAAATCAAATAATGCTTTGATTTACATATTTCCAATTTATTTCTTTTCTTCTTACAACTCAGTTTATTTGTACCTTTTTTTCTTTCTTTGTATTTTCACGTGAGTCAACAGTATGTATATTTATCCAACTTACCTGAAGCTCCCAAAGGACCCATTCGTATGAAAACATCACTGAAACACAAACATTTTTGTTCGCCCTTTTGTTACTCTTTCAGTCTGCATTTGCAAAGTTGTAATGTATACATTTCCATGGCCGAATTCATTCCTTATAATTATTGTATGTAATGAATGTAATACCTTATTTAAATTTCATGTACAACAATTATTGTGATATTTGAAGTTAGTATTATCTAATCTTCTAAATAGAATTAGTATAATTAGTAAATTATTAAATGTAGAATGCTGATCTTACATTGATAATTATTCTATTCATAAAATAACATTTTCTTCACTATATGAATAAGAACAAGATTTGGTTTAAAAACTTAAATATAATACGAATATACCTATAGAAACGCATGTTCGTTTTAGGAATAAATTTTCTGGTAAAATTGAAACTTGTGTATAATACGCATAATAATATTTTATTTAATTTGCATTGAACATTTGTTAACAGAACTTTTAATAAGAACAGAAACTAAAATATAAAAATTTGTTAAATTAACAAATAATATAAAATTTTACTCTTAATCACTGTAAAAGCCGTAAGTGCGCTTGTTCAATTTTGAAAATTTTCGTTTTATACTCGAGGCGAAATTTTATGAAAAATTCAAATTTGCATATAATACGTATTGACATTCGTTTATAATATGCATACGCATAAATCATAAACTTTTAATAAAAAAAGGAATATATCAATATCAGCTACAAACATTCAATAATAGAACAAATAATAATTTCAAATTTCACTTATTCAATTTTGATGTTTTCTTTTTACTCGAATATAATAATTACCTCCATGTATTATGGAAAATAATAAAAGGGAAAATAAATGAGATTTTACGGTATATTAAAATATCATTAAATACACTTTGTATGTATGCAATATCTCACATAGTCCGTGTAATCATATCCGTCAATATACTGGACTGTTTGAAGCAGGACTAATTAGGGAACTAAGAACAACAATACTTTATATAGTGTGTGTAATCAGTTCTTGCCTGATCTGTTTCAAGCCAAAAAATAAGCCGTACAATAAGAAACTCAACTGTATAAAGGTACAAAGTTGATCATTTATGTTAATAATGTTGTCTACTATTTTTTATAATTTATTAAATGAAATTTAGATTGTTTTAAAATATTACCGAATTATACATCGAATCCGGACTATGCGAGGTATTATTGCTGTACTATACAAAATCTTCTTTGTTAGTAAACTATTTTCAGATTGAGGTTTGTTCTGCAAAAAAAGAAAATTAAGTATTGGAACATGATGGGATTGTTTCTATATCCCTGTCTCTGTTAGAAATATACCCTAGTGTTGAGGAAGAATGGGACAACTGTACTCGTCGTAGGTTTCCGCGTGCGAACATAAACTTGGCTGAGATAGATGGCTTCTAAATTATTTACGAAGCCTTAGGGGATGAGTGGATTACAAACGACCACCACAAGTTTTGGGTCAAAGAGATGTATGATCCCAATTTACCAGTACATTTACTTAACACACAATTCACGCATACGAATTTTAGTCTTACCATTTGTTGCTTTTTTGATCTTTGAACGTCCTTTCTGTCATCGTCGCTGATTATATAATTTAATTAAACATATTCAAACCCTTAGATATAATTATACATTTACGTACTTTACTTAAATAATTAAACTCAACTATGCGAGTTTCTATTCGTAATATTTTATTTTTGAACACTACATAATAATAGTTCATCACCGCTAAGGATCAACGTTTTCTAAGTATTCTCCAAATAGATTTCAGTAATTATATTAATTAGTAATGACTATAAAATAAATAGTATATTCTACAACCCTTTTATTTTTTTTGTCATAACATTTATAAAACTTCATTCGAATGAACTAACAAAAATATCTTCTTTCTTTTTCAAATATATGTTTTCTTATGTTATCTAACTAATACATGGTTTATAACTTCTATTATCTAAGGATTTGTCCTTGTCTCTTTGATCTCAATAACTACTTTCACTATATGTACCCCATAATTTAAGTAAAATCTCTATATCCTCTAGTCCTGCAGTATCCTTCGAACCTTTTTTTTTTATAGATAAATAAGATCTAAATCCACGTTACGCAATAAATGGTTCATTCATCTACAGGTCAACCCTGCAAATAAGAATTTAGGAATTCCATATCAAAAGTGAAATCTTTACGTTTGATAAAAACTATTTTTTTGAAAGAACTTTCAAACATAAGAGTAAACTTAAATAATTATTAATTAAAAGAAAATTACGTAAGGACGCTTACATTTTGTTAGTGCTAAGGTTTGGAGCGAATGCGGTTTACACAAGCCAAGCAATGAACCGCAGGATTGAAAGAATAAGAAAACTACATGTTAATATTACAGTTAATATTACAGTCTTTGTGATATTACTACTACTTTATGATATATAGATAATACCATATGATATTGAATTTGCATTTAATTTACAATGTATTTATAATTGTAACGTAAAATAGTTCTTTAAAAATACACAATAACTAAAATAGAAGAGATCTAGGTTAATATTATAATATTGTCATTTCTTGCATTTCGGAGCAGGTAGAACTCTTGACATTCTTCGTTCGAACAGAGTTAACTCAATGTTTGCGGGAATGCTTCCAAGCTGCCTTATTCTCGTTTTTTTTTAGTTTTTTTTATAGTATAACATTCATTAGGTTAATATCCATATTTAGAACTTCTATTTAACCACGTGTTTAAGATGATACTAAACTCTTGTACTCATCCTCAATAAAAAGAAAAGTAAAAATAAATTTGCTATTTTTTTAAATCTTATTCTTAAAAAGCTATCAGCATCGATATAAATCGAATATTTCGAACAATTTTCTCGTAACAAATTTCCATCGCAAATTCGATCTGAATATAAAAGTGTAATATCTCTATAGGCGATGTTTGATGGAAGTTGATGAAATCATTTTTCACATCGCATTTCATAGAACGATCAATTAATAAACTTTCATTTGTTTGTTTGTTCGTCTCCAGATGCAGTTGTGGTCGACCCAGCACATATCATGGTATTGCGACTCTGGATGTTCCCAACTCAGAAACGTGGCTGCCCTCAAGACACACACGTGCCACAGCGACGGATGCTTTTGGTACACTCGACTTTCAAGGAGGAGCATATTCCACCAAAGCGCAGGTAAATAAAAATTAAGACATGTTTACTTTACAATATTTATTTTGACATTTGAAATACATAATTGTAACTTGTAGCCATAGACACCCAAATATTATTAGTTTTTATAAATTTTTATAAATTAGATATTGTTTTTCTGTTATTTACATTATTTTGTTAATTTTTTTATACTTTACAGACTTAATTGATGGTGTAAATATCTAAATTTTCTTTCAAAGTATGTTTATATCACATTCAACCTTATTTCGCGTAGTTTAAATAAAATATAAAGTATTGTATTTGACAGCTGTCAAAACTATGCGTTAATTTGCACAAATTCGTCATAGGTTACTTCTAATTAGATTATTTTCATTGAGTTAATTGTAAACTACAAACCTGCACTATTATATTTTCTGATTATAAACGTGGTTTGTGCATACAATTTTATATATTCATATGTACGAATTTTATGAATCTTCGAAAAAGTAATAATACTGATGTACCGGACTATTTGGAACTGTACTAATCGAGGAACTAAATAAAAAAAAGATTTGACTGAATAAAGTGTAAACATCATTCATTTATGTATAAACAAGCTAACTTTGTGAATTATTTTTTTAGAATTAATTTTTGCTCAATTATAGTTCAGATTGTTTTGAAATTATCAAATCGGATTATAGTGAATCCGGACTATGTGCGTTATTGGTGTATATGTATATTTTGTTGACGTATTCTGAAGTAAATTGAAAGATATTATAAGCGTTTCAGATCGATATATTCCAGAACACCTGTTTTTACAATCAATTTTATTTTGTTACGTTTCCACCAAGCTAAAATTATCATTACTATGTGCTGATGCACGTGTTTAGTGCTGATGTATTTTTCTCTAAATTTTCAATATACGTAATGTATCCTATTTATTTTAATAAATAGAAGAAAAACAAGAGTTAATCAATTATTACAAACATTTAATCGATTATTCATCTCATAACTAGCTATTGTATTTACTTATATGAATAAGGATTGGAAAGTTTCTTATGTAAATCAAGCAAACAATTGTGAGATTTAGGATATGTATTTCATTGCATTGGGATACGATTTTCCATCGATCAAATTCAGGTCAATTTCAGCCAATGAAACACGAATCCATCACTCTCATCGCATTAAAGAGAAAAACAATGAAAACAGTATCATGTAAATTCAATAAGCCGGAAATGTTAGTGGAATTCAATCATTCGTCATTGAATAATGAATTCAAAGACAAAAAGCTTTATTTTAATAAAAACAAAGTTTTTCAATTTCATCTCAATTGTATTACACAAAAATTGTATTTGTAAAACAATTAACGATCATTTTAAATGAAGCTTTGATACTTTGAGTTAAGCTCAAATGTAGCTTTTTTTTTAATTTAAAATTATTAGAATTGCAAGGATTTGCGCAAATTGTTTAGGACATACATCCATAATATCCAAAAGAAGGTGTATATCTTAATTTAATTAAATTTTTGAAAAATATCTTAGTTTTGTCATTGATTAAACAAACTTATAAAATCCATACTGGTCCGTTGGTTTTCTTTCCTGTGTTTTTATGTTATACAAATATTATGTAACTGTTGCAATGAATTAATATTGTTACTTGAATCTTTGCAATTTTTTTCTACAAATCGCTACAAAATTCTTTCATTTTCATGGATATGATTAATTGTAGAAATTTAATAATTATATATTTTGTTATATGGAAATTTCAAGTTTGTAATTAAAATATTTAAAATCCCTAACAATACTTCATATTTATGTAGAGAACTCATAATCAAGTGACATATGAAAGAGTGGTAACGAACGTGCCTGTAGTGTATAAATCGTTACGTTGCTCTTAGCGTCTCTCGTTAATATAATTAAATATAATCACACGTTAAGCTACTGAAATATGTATAAGTAAATAAAAAAAAGTAATTAAATTAAGTTAATTAAAATGAAAATAAAAATATGATAAATGTAGTATTAAAAAAACATGTGTTTGTAAAGTGTGCAACAGAAATTTTAATCAGAAAAGACAACTAGTTGAATTTGTTTGTGCACACAGAATGCAAGCAAATAGAGTATTTCGTGTGCTGGCCACGTGCTAAATAATTTACGTGGAAAATCAGGAAAACCCATGGCGCCTGCAAATCGTTGCGTGCACACGCAAAGGTCAATGGGTTAATCGCGTGGCCGAACCATTTCCAAAACCAAAATTCACCAAATCTCGCGTGTAATTCAAACATACACACACCCTAATCCCAAATGCATGCACATCATCAAGCAAAGCAAACATGAATTACCAATAAAAAAAAGTACAGTACAATTGCTTTTTAACCTTCATTCCCCAATGCATGTACTTGAAATGCGATTCATAATTGATCGGATAACGAACCAATCAAAAGTTTCGTCGCGCTTGTAATTGCTTTGTTTTCCTATTAAACTTTTCTGGCGATTTTGATCAGTGCTCATCACCTGACGCTTCCACACTTAATTAAAACTGAACGAAAACTTTGATTATTCATCCTTCCAAAAAGTAAAAGATAAATCTGTTGGGATAATAACATACTTCGTACACCGCTTACATTTTACAATTCAATTAAGCTCACTATTAATTATTCATGGCGCAATTCATATTTACATCCGCGATTATCCCAAATTATTATTAATTCATAATTGAAATGCATGGAATAAGCGATTTGATCTTTCGGAGAATTGATAGAAATATTAAACATTCCGCGTATTCGCTTACTAATATTAATAGAAGTAATAGCATTTCCAATGATTCTCATAATTAATTCTATATCCAAAAAGAAATTAGTTGTATTCTGATAAGCTCATTGCATAGTGAACAATATGAACAATAACAACAATTATTAGAACAACCATGAAAAATAAACAATTACGGAAAAAAATTACGTAAATCTGTAAACTGTCTTAACTTGATATAATTTATTTAATTTAGTACAGCTATTAGTAGATTATTCGAGTTTATTATATATAATTTCAGAGTTTTATACAGAAATATTTTTTACAAAACAAAACAGAAATAATTGAATATTTCCAGAACAAAATTTATCAATGAAGTAAACATAAATAGTATACTTTATATTTCTATGAAGTTCATATATATTTGAAAAGAATGAATATGGTTGTATTTAAAATACAGGTAAACGTCGTTTTATGCAGGGGTTTCGTTCCTACAAAAGCCGTCGCAAATCGAATCGGCGTAAAATAAATCCATCTTTACATTGAGGTAACTATAGGATTTAGTTCTTAAAGTGTAAAATCAGCAATTAATAAGCGTTATTGTGAATCGGCGTAAATCGAACCGGCGCAACGAAGTTTACCTGTATATTTTATAATGTTTGTTTTATATGACTTTCAATAATTATGAAAACAAATTTAATCACTAATTAAATAAAAAATGTAAAATTATTATAGAAAATGTAAAATAATATACTAAAATTATCAGTAGATGCTAAAATACTCGTTTCTATTCAATCAGGACATCCGATAATTGCAGTGGAGTTTAACACTAACCAAGTAAATACGTAATGCAATGATGCATGAGAAGCCCCATGTAAATGGCTGAAACGGGGGTAGTGAGCAATCCACAGCCTCTAATGTAAAAGCTAAGTAAATAACAGAGGTTTTTTTTTGGCACCATCATCAAATTAGAAGCTTTAACCTGATATACAAACATTCAGAATTAAATCTCCTATTTTTTCAAGTTCAAACATTTAGCTCTTTAATTTGAAAGAAAAACATTTTCTGCCTACATTTTTCATACAGAGTGTATAATTATATCAGAATTGTAGATTAAATCAGAATTGGATAATTAAGAAGACTTTCTTTAAGAGATAAAAACATATTTCTCTAAAGTCACAAATCAGAAGGAAAAAACAGAAATCTTTAGCTTTTCATCTAATTCTAACAAAACAGAAATTGGGACAGCTTTACTTGCCAAGTAACTTGTATTAATACACATACTATATTGATATAGTTGCATGTAAATTGCCTGTACGCATACGAAATAACAGATGTCATCTTGTATCAAAGCGAGGTACTGGTGAAATATTCATAGCTATTGACTTGGAAGAACATTGGCTTATAGACACGGTATATAATACTCAACAAATTACTTTGATCATATTAATAAGTATTCAACTTTTAAATCATTTTAATGTGTGCATCTCTTATTGTACTTTTGTAGTATATTTTAATCATTATATAACTCAGTTTTAACGTGCAATTAAATTGATGAATCTAATGGTGAATATTATTGAAATAATAACTTAGTTGCTGCAATAGTCTTCAGAATATATTATAATATATAACTTATACGCATACTCGCAAAGTTGTCCTACTTTCCGTTATGATTTACGTCCTGACCCTATTATTTTTAATGAGACATACAATGTTATTAGCTATTCCATTGTTTAATAACATTTCATACATCACATACTCATAATAAGGCGCACGCAACGATTACGGCTCGAAATGACTATAAACATATAAGCACCGAAGAACAATTCTTGGATTAAAGACGGTTACCGACACTTAACTAAACCCCACTGGAACGGTTTGTTTAGATATTAGTGGTGCATAAAAATCGATGTGGACCGCAATTCGCACACCTCATCGCCCTTAGATATACACAGCCCAGTTTCATCCCTCTGCAGCGTTGTAATCCGGAATTCCGGTCGAGCTGCGTCACTCCCCCAAGGCGGGAATCATCCCTTTATTCCACAGGAATTGCATGGAGATGAATCAATACCTTCAGCATGCAACTCTACAGAAAACAATAATCGTCCCCAATTAATCGACGGCTTCATAAGTCTTCATGTGTATTAGTTTGACGAGGGCAATAAAGTGGCGCTTGCACCTTGAAATTAATTGGGGATAAAGTTCAAGATTGTATACCTATTGTAGTTACGGCTTCATTACGATGTTAACTTTTTTTAAGTAAACTTTTAACAGATGAATTCACTCAGAATAAGTGTGAAATCGAATGGAAACGTTGTAAATTTGGTCGTTAATCAATTGGAATAGCCGTTTTATCACGTCGAACGTCGTGCGTTTGTGGGTTGTTAGATCTTTTTTTTTTAACTCATCATCACTCTTCGTGATGTTGAGATCAAAAGGGAAAATCGAAAGGCGTGATTTACGAGGACGCTGTCGGATGGAGGAGTAATTAATTATAAATTGTTCTTATATTTTTTTTCCTCTCTATTTGCAGTACGTGCGTTTGGCACACGACACAAGGCCGGAACGGCTGTTGCAGCTCTTTACCAGGGAATGGAACTTGGAACCACCGAAGCTTCTAATCACTGTGCAAGGTGGCAAAGCGAACTTCGAACTTCAGCCGAAGCTCAAGAAAGTGTTGCGCAGCGGATTACTCAAAGCTGCGAACACCACTGGTGCTTGGATCTTCACCAGCGGAACAAATACAGGTACAAATCCCTCTTATCGCGAGTTATCAACTATCAAAATACCCGAACTGAAGAAAAACTAAAGACACTGAACTAAACATATTTTATTACGTATTTAGAAATATTTTGTCTTTAGTATTAGATTACAAATAAATTTCATTATTAAATCAATACGAAAATTAATGTGAAATGTCAATGTAAATTATTTTTTTTATGGTTGCCTAACATAATAATTCATAATAAAAGCTTCATTGCTACATAATTATTAAAAATCTAGTAAATATGTTAGTAAATATGAACAAAAAAAACTACTAAAGTTTCATTTCATTGTTCAAATTTGCATGCGTAAGTTTCTAATTGAATAAAACGTGAATATACTGTCAACACTTCAATTATAAGAATGAGATTTGACATTAATTAGGATATTCGATGATCTAATTAGAGTACGCAGTTGTAGAGTAATTAAATAAATGAATTTTCACTTAAAAATTAACATACATATAGTAATATCAAAGGAGAACAATATAAGACATCTTATGTAATCATAAAATAACTTATATGTATATGAATTTTCAAATTTTCGTTGCTTTAAAGTCTTTAAGTCGAGATTTTTTTAATCCCATAATTTAATATAAGTATTAAATAATAGTAATCCCAGATTTAATTACTGTTGTTTTAAATTACGTAATAATTTTACATGTATACAGAGTTTTTGTTGTATCTCTTGACCAACTATAATTTATTATCATCATTAACCCAAGCATTAGTTTCGTAACTTGCACTGAAATGTTTCAGTTATTCGACCATTTTGGCTTTGACTGAAATTAATCACGTTTCAAATATACGAGAGAATTTAGTAATGAAACTTCGATTTTCAAACTAAATTAAACGATTAAGTTAATCTAACTTACAATTAATAATTGAATCGTATATTACATTAGTTTTTATGGGGAAAATAGGAACGGATTATGCGAGGTTCCATTGTACTATAATTCCTTTAGAATAAATTTAATTTTTGTTAACAATTAATTAATAAGTTTAGATAGTTATGCTAAGATCTTTAAAGCAAATGCTTTTCTACTGGATTCATTTATAAATTAAATGAATCTTAAGTGGTTTACTCATAATATTTTTTATTGATATGACGATTTACAAGTTTGGTTTAATTATTATTTTTCTTTTCATTCATTAATAAAATGTATTCAAAAAGTATTCACAATTTTTTTCTATTAAAATCATATTTTATTTAAGTTTTCCCTCAACTGATGAATTTTATGCTAAATACTACGAACTTTCATTTTCTTATTTCCATTGATTCAGTTGTAGTAAATTTATGAAATCAATATGCAATTAGATGAAACTGAATTCAGGTTTCAATGATATTGATTACATGGGGATCCACCAATTATAAAGTTTTTCATTAAAGGGCTCCTCGGAAAGTTGTTCAAGCTGTTAGGAGACAATTAATCAAATCAAATTTACTTTGGGTCGTACGCCAAGTGAAAGAGCTAAAATAAATTACGCGTTCGAAAGATTCTTTTGAACGTGCCCTGCAGAGTAAAGCGAAGGAGCATTTTCTGTTTGTTTGCACTTACACACATACACACGCACGCACACATTTGGAAAAGTTTCCTCGGTTCGGCCGATTTCTGCGGACGAAGAAAAACATGGTGAGTCGAGGATTCTGTAATGAATCCAAGCTGCTTTTTACGACGTCTGCAGACCCTACAGTTTTAGAGCACTTACGTGGTTATGGTTTACTCCAAACACAATATACATCTCGTTATTTGTTTGATAAGTTTCAACTCATTCAATGAGAAAACGCTCGAGACACCAGACTAATTGTAACTTTTCATTAAAGTTAATTTCGTATATTACTTATATAATGAATAGGGATATGAGCCATATTTATCTACACTTTGGTATTTCATTATTCGTTGCGTTCAGTTTTGCAGCTTAAGACAAAACGGAAAGTTAGGTAATTTAATCACCTAACTTTCCGTTTGATTAAAAGATTAATAAAATACTAAATTATGATTATAATAAACGTACAAATTATTATTTTTTTGCAGGTGTAACACGACAAGTTGGAGATGCCCTCCTAACAGAAAGATCTCAACGTAGTGGAAAAATCATATCCTTGGGAATCGCACCTTGGGGAATTATTGAGAACAATCACGAATTATTAGGAATTAACAGGGACGTACAATATCACTCCATATCCTCACCTAGGTAAGAAATTGTATCTAATTAACTTTGCACAATTCCATAGCAACTGATATAACAACATATATGATTTATTCATTGACAATTTTTGAAAACTGTCTTGTCAATTATATCAGGTGTTATCAAAGTGCTTCTGTTTAATTAAAATTTTGTTTGTTTTATAATTTTTGGTTATAATAAGGTAATAATAGTTAAAAATGATACTGAAATTAAGAGACTAGTTGATTCGAAGATATACTTTATTTCTCGTATACAATTGGTATCATTGGGTCGACATGGAATTACCACCTAATAAGACACATTGGACAATATTGAACATACTGATTATCCAATCCGAGGGTGGACCGTGTCCGTAGTCCCTCCTGAATTCGCTCTCAATGACGACCAAAACCAATTTGAGAATATTCTTCTCCTCATGCCACTTCATAGACAAACTCTTCAGCAAAACCGCGCAAGACTTGTTTTGGTTGCGATCGCGAATCAGAGTGACCTTCATAGGTACCAACAGCTTAATATCTTCGGGCTGCAGTTTGATGACATGCTTTTGCATGTCGCTCAGCCGCAGCTCCATGTCCGTTCTGAGCGATCTATGCGCGTTTATCGTTAACAGATGCTTGAGTCTATCGGGATTATTTTGGTTGATGATTTCGGTTATCCTGCAGATGGCTTGCGTCGAGCCGTAGATGAAAGCACCCTCGGAGAAGTCCGGGTCCCAGGCCTTCTGCAAGTACTTGAATTTCACTTTGTTGTTCAGCCATCGGAAGAAGTGCGGGAAATAAAGTAAATCAGGGAACTTTCGGCCGGAGTATGGTTGATGGGTGAACGCTTTCTGGGGTTTCAGGAGGGCGGTTGGGCGAAGCGATAGGAGTTTATGGGACGGCCGAAATATATGCATGTTACACGGGAATTTTGTGAGTTGGATGATCAGAACATGACTGATGGAGAATAATTTTTTTGACAGGCTATTTGCTACATTTCGTTTTTGTTTCTTTTTTTTATATGTATAAAGGGAAACCTCAAACTACGAACACAATACGTTTTTAAAGACAGTTCGACATTCATATTGTTCGAGATTTATCTATAAGAAATAATATTAATCCATTTCAAACACAATATAATGGTTTATCAGGGGTTGTAGAGGTATCGAAAATATCTATATACAAACATACAATATACAAAAATATGTTTAAATAATCTAAATTATAAAATATTTTAAATTTCTTGTTGTTTCAGATCAAGATTAGCCGTTTTAAACAATAGACACTCATATTTTCTCTTAGTTGATAACGGTACTCAGGGAAAGTACGGTGCGGAAATAGTATTAAGAAGGAAACTAGAGAAGTTCATATCCATGCAAAAGTTGCACCCTTGTAAGTACACTATATTATTTTTAATTTAATACTATTATAACTTTCCTCATATCTGTAAGTTATACTTTAACACTTTTTGAAGACTGTATTGACGACTTAATGAAATGTTACATATCTTGGTGGTAGGTCAAGGTATAGGTCTTGCGCAAAAATATCATCCCAATGGAACTGAATGTAAGTCAAAAATCAAAGAATAAAAAGAACAAAAATAATAGAATAACGTAGAGGAAAATAATCCGAACAGAAATAATAACCTAGAAATAACACTTCCTAGTACACGGTAGTCTGCCTTACTGCAATATTAATTACATTAGTTAAATGCATATACAGTCAACCAACGTTATTCTCAGATTTTATATTACAGTAAAACCTCGTTTATCGCATCCTCGATTAACGCTGATTCGATATAACTCAGTCTACTCGAAACCTAAGACAGCTGTTACCTATTTGCTATATGCTTGTCGTCTAGGAACGCATCCTTAGCCCTAAACGAGGTCTTACTGTATATGTTTAATTATATTTAGTTATATTAACACGATTCAACATTTGTTAAATAAATTGTGAAAAACGATGGTCAATTGCGCTAAATCTCTTTCCTTCAATATGTAAATATGAACTGAAATCTTTTTTAAAATGCGATTAGGATTTGTAGATTTGACAATACTTGAAACTAATATTAAAATGAAGCGTTAATTTCAGATACTTACAGTACTACGCCCGTAGTATGTCTTGTGATAGAAGGAGGTACAAATACAATAAGGGCTGTGCTAGAATACGTGACAGATGATCCTCCGGTTCCTGTAGTTGTGTGCGATGGATCAGGAAGAGCAGCTGACCTTATTGCTTTTATGCACAAGTAAGTATATTGTGATTATATTAGCATCTATTCACTCATTATAACAGACATGTGTATTAACATTTAAGAATTCATCGATTGATTATGCTTAGCGTACATCCGGCGTTCGTGTACCCGGCGAATCCACTTTGATTTACCAATCATATTTAATCAATCTAAATACTAGATAGAATAATATACAATTTATTAGATTAAATTTGTGATATATTATCATTGTTCTAATATTTAATTTAATTGATATAATTAATATTTATTTTACGTAATCATAATAATATTAATTGTATAAATATCCAGTGACTATTACGTAAAAATCAATACCGGCAATCAAAACTCTATACTAAAATATTCATAATGAAATACAATATGTCTATACTCTATTCCCAGTGTGTAAGAAATGAAATGAGGTAAACAAAAATATTTAATGCGGTTCAATATTATATTAATAACATAAAATTTAAAGCTATATACTTTTAAACAGACTTCTTTTCAATTTTATATAAGTCACTTCAAAAAAAAATATAAAAGAATTTTAATGAAAAAAAATAAATAAGATACGTTTCAGACAGTATAACGCACGTGTTTCGAGATTGTTTTATGTGAAATATTAAATTCCTCAAAACATATTTACGTGGTATGTGGAAAACGCCTTTGATGTTGTTGAATCTCCTGTTTAAGGAACCGATTGTAAAATTTTAATACTAACTTTTTTTATGTCGTATAATTTTATTCACAATCTGTTCATCAATGTGAACATTGAGTAAATTTAAGATCGCGGTTGATATTAAATGGATAATCTTTCCCGGTGGGTAGTTACCATTATGATGATTTGAACATATAATAATTACATAAATCTATATACAAAATCTAGTGGATTGCAACTCTTCAGCCGGTTTGTGGTTTTATTGCTACTCGCATAGCCAAAACATTGGTATGTGGCTCCAGTCTATCTTGGTAACTACTACAAAATGTTGCTATTGCATCCTCCATATCTATATGAAGAACTTCGTGTAATAATATTTGTTATGCATTTTGATTTGAACATTTGTATAATGTGTATGTTCGATTTGCTGGCCGCACAATTAGATACCATAGGCCCATACTGGTTTCAGTATTACTTTGTTTCCAAGTAATTTATTTTCCACTGATAATTCCGACCATTTCCGTAGAAGCCAGTAGAGTTTTCTAAACTTTATTTCTAATTGCTCTCTCTTAGCCTAAATCTGATCTTTCCAGGTGAGTCTTCTGTCTAGATGCATGCCTAGATATTTGACTTTTGTTGCTTTGGGCTGATCTTGTCCATTAAGTCTTACAGTTGGGCAGGTGTCTTTCTTTAGCGTGAATGTGATATGCACGGATTTCATTTCGTTAACTGCTATTCTCCAATTTTTAAGCAATTCTTGTAGCTTATCTAATTTTTTTCTGTAGATATTTGGATGCTAATGATATATTCTCATCTGATGCGAAGATTGCTGTGTCATCAGCGAATGTTGCAATCGTAGTATTGTTAATTTACCAAAATCAGACTGACTGGACAATCTAGAAGAACCTATATTAAAACATCTTTTGAACTTATCATAATATAAGCTTTGTACTAAGAATTCCAACCATTTTGTTTCCTTCACAAAATTAATACAAAACCAAGAACCACTACGATCAATAGTCATTTTTATATACACAATAAATTAAGGTAGAAATATTGAAAGTTATCTTTCTGCCGCAATAAATTATTTTATAAACGGTCTTTTAGGATTTAATGTTTACATTTGAATGGAGTGGCTTTCTTTATTTACAACCCATTTTTTATGTTTTCAGATATGCTTCCGACTCTGACGATATAATAGAAAACATGAAAGACTATATTTTGACGTTAATACAGAGATCCTTTGAAGTAGACCTGAATAAAGCGGAGTGTTTGTACGGCGAATTGCTTCAGTGCACAAAAAGAAAGAATCTGGTAATTAGCTCTCAGCTGTTCGCAGCGTTTGCCGCGGTTTAGTAATTCATTTCTTCGCTTTGTAAAGATCACGGTGTTCAGGATCTCGGAGCATCTGGATTCTAGGTCGCAGGAACTGGACCAAACTATTCTGACCGCCCTCTTCAAGGCACAGCACTTGACGCCATCGGAACAGCTCTCACTTGCTTTGACATGGAACAGGGTGGATATCGCCCGATCCGAGATCTTCGTTTACGGACAGGAATGGCCTGAAGGGGCGCTCGAAGAAGCCATGATGCAGGCGTTGGAACACGACCGAATTGACTTCGTTAAGTTGCTGCTTGAGAAGGGTGTCGGGATGAAGGAATTTCTTACAATACCGCGTCTCGAGATGTTATATAATACGAAGCAAGGTCCGAGCAATACCTTGTGGTACATCCTGAAAGATCTGAAAGCCATTCCGGAAGGATACAACTATACTTTACACGATATTGGATTAGTTATTAACAAATTGATGGGTGGGGCTTATAGGTATAAAGTATTAAAAATCTTATTAGATTATTTTCATAATATATGAATTGGTTTTAGAGCGTATTATACTAGACGAAAATTCAGACCAATCTACGCCAAAGTGATGAATAAAAAGCCCAACAACCGTCATTCATCTTCATTTGTTAAGTACTGCGGAAATGCAATGAGTCTATTGGCTGAGACATTGCCAACGAAAGATGGACTATGCTCCTTCGAATTTCCCTATAATGAATTATTTGTAAGTCTTTCTCTTAAATTATTATAACTACTTTTTTATATATTTTTTTCTTTACATAAAACAATCCGTTTTAGATTTGGGCAGTTTTAACGAAGAGACAGTGTATGGCTCTTCTAATGTGGAGTCGTGGCGAGGAAGTTTTGGCCAAATCCCTTGTCGCCTGTAAATTGTACAAGGCAATGGCTCATGAAGCCTCAGTGGACATGGAAACGGAAGTTTACGAGGAACTTAGAGGTTACGGCAAGGAGTTTGAAACTATTGGTGAGTTAACGGACAAACGATGGATTTATTACAACTAATAGTTCGATTTAGCTTTGGATCTCCTAGATTATTGCTACCGCAAGGACGATGATTTGGCTCAACAGCTATTGACTTGTGAACTTCGGAACTGGTCAGGACAAACATGTCTCAGTCTTGCAGTTGCGGCCAATCACAGAGCCCTTCTTGCACATCCTTGTTCGCAGGTGATACTAGCCGATCTTTGGATGGGCGGGCTGAGGACCAGGAAGAACACCAATCTCAAGGTAACGAATCTTTGCAAGCGTTTCATTTACGATTTCGTTTTTTTATTTTAGTTTCAATTATTTTTATTTTTTTTTTTTTGTTTCTTTCCTTTTCGTTCATCCTAATCAGGTCATCCTGGGCCTTGTATTCCCACCATACATATTCAGGTTAGAGTTTAAAACGGTTGAAGAGCTCCAGTTGATGCCGCAAACGCAAGAAGAACATTTAGAAAATGATGACGACGATGACAGTTCAGAACCGGACAAAAGTCCAGACGCCGAGGTTTGTTGTTATTTAGGCTCATACTAACACGAAACGACAGTTTCGAATCCCATACTGACAAATCTTGTTCACCGAAAATTGATGAATTGATACAACATTTCGTTAATTATAATGCAAATTCGGGTAGTATTTAATAACGGTGTTGAATTATTTCTTAATTATCTTTTACTTTTAACAAATTTTGTATATATTTTGTACTTTTAACACAAACGAGGACGAATGATTTACTTTTTAGAATGGCCGAAAACGTTCATTGGTTATAACATCGCCAATACATCATTTTTCCGTTCAGAACAAGGTAAACATTCGCTTATTACGTTTTCATGGAGCCTGTGACTCCCATTCGAAAATTATGATTTTTCTTATTTTATTTTACCCGCACAAAATCGAGACCGAAAGTTGTATTTGCATTTTAGAAAGGCCGAAAATGTTCATTGATTAAAACCACAGCAATACACCAACTTTCTCTACACAGCAAGGTATACAATGGTGTTTTTCTTATCTTTATTATTCACCCCAGTCTCATTAGATTTTGCTTTGATATTTGTAACTATTTGGCGTGGCGAGATTTCCTTTTCTGCAAATAAATTAATTTAAATACGGCTTAAAGTTGGTGCACATTTTCAGCTTTGAGATTAATGCTATGTGCTTTTAGACTCTACTATCGGACAATTTTATTCGGAGAGACACCATTGTCCAAGAAAACGGAAGAGTTTTTCCGGATTTAGAGGAAACCAAGTACTCATTCACGTTCGAGGAGAAAAGTCTGCAGAAGAAAAGGACGAGACCCTTGAAATTAAAGAAGAAAGTATATGAGTTTTTCACGGCACCAATAACCAAATTTTGGGCTAATTCCGTAAGGTTTAATTATAGCGTACCATAGGACAACAGTTAATTTATATTGGATTTTCAGATTTCGTATTTGATTTTTTTGATCATCTATAGTTATATGGTTCTGGTGCGGATGGATCAGACGCCGAGGTGGCAAGAGTACGTGGTAATTTCCTACATTTGTAGTTTCGGTTGCGAAAAGATTCGTGAAATTATTTCCTCTGAACCAGTGGCGGTGCGTCACAAATTGGCGGTTTGGGCTTCGAACATGTGGAATCTGTGTGATGCATCGGCAATCACGTTCTTCTTTATTGGCTTAGGTTTTCGGTTAAAACCTTATACAATGGAGGTGGGCCGTGTCATGTATTGCGTAGACAGTATTTACTGGTACCTCAGGATTCTCAACATCTTAGGTGTTAATAAATATTTGGGTAATCACTTTCCACTAACTTAAATTATAAATAAATACTAATTTAATGTTAATTTCTAGGACCTCTCGTTACTATGATGGGAAAAATGGTTAAGAACATGATATACTTTGTGGTGTTGTTGCTGGTGGTGTTGATGAGTTTCGGAGTGAGTCGGCAATCCATTCTATATCCTAATAAAGAAGCTAGCTGGAGGATTGTTAGAGATGTAAATACTCTATTCAAGTTGTTTATTGAATGTATCTATTTCATAAATGCTATGTTTACAGGTTTTTTTCGAGCCGTATTTCATGTTGTACGGAGAAGTGTTTGCCGATAGAATTGATCCGCCTTGCGGTGGTGAGGGAGAAGAGGAGTGCTTGACGGGACGTTGGATTAATCCAGCGGTGATGTCTATTTACCTTGTAATTGCCAACATCCTGTTGATAAATCTGCTTATCGCGGTATTCAATAACATCTTCATCGAAGTCAACGCTGTATCGCACCAAGTTTGGATGTTCCAGCGGTTCACTGTCGTTATGGAATATGAACAGAAGCCGATACTTCCACCTCCTGTAATACTCATTTGCCACATGTACTTATTATTCAAATATTTCAAGAGGAAAAGGAAAGGCCTGAGGGAGACTTACGATAACGGACTGAAACTTTTTTTGGAACCTAAAGCCATGAACATGCTGTACAAATTTGAGGAGGAGTGCGTGGAGGGCTACTTCAGCGAGCAAGAGAAAAAACAATCGCAAAGCATGGAGTATCGGATCAAAGTCGTGATTGAGAGGATGGAGTATCTGGCCCAAAAAGTGGAGGACATTGACACAAAAGTGAACACGCAAGGGACTTTACTGCAGAATATCGAGTTTCGCTCGAGGAAAATTGGCGAGGCTTTCAATGAACTAGCGGAAATGATGCACAGGTTCCTCGCAGCCAAACGGATGTCGGATGATAAACAAACGCTGGCGCCGGATAGAACAGGCGATAGGTTACGAAGAAGCAGTGAAAGATCCGACGCTCCTTCGGATGATTCACACGGTTTGCTACAGCCGCTGAGGAAGAGGCCCACCAGATCTTTGACCGAGGTTCGGCCGGATGCTTACATATTCGACGATGGAGCTCATTATGAAGTTCGAACGGTAGCTGAGGAAAGTGACGAGCACCTGGAAAGCATGTCAGCAGCTGGTACGAATCTTGACCTTTGATTATCGTGCATTTTAATTAATAGAATATTGAATTGCTTTGCAGGCAGCAGGAAGGAGATACACATGATGGAACAAATAGAACGTCAGAGAAGTAGTGATTCGAAAACATCTGTTGATAGTGATCGGGGCGACACGGAGGAGGATGAGTATAAAGTATCCCAGGAGACGCTGACCTTGGAATCGCTGAAATTTAGGTACGCCCAGAGAAGACGCGATTCTTTCGGCGGGAGGAGAAACTCCGAAGGTGGTTATGGTAAGCATTAACATTTTTTATTTATCTGCATACTCCACAATTATGGGTTTGGGTTTATATCTAAGTGTTTAATAATTAAACTATTCTATAAAAATCAAAATTATGAAAAAATAATAGAATTTTGATAAAAATCGAATGGTAAAGCTTACTACTAATGTTACTAATGGTCCGTTTATTAATATATCATGCTATTTTCATCATCATTTAAAGCGGAATTTGTGTAAATCAGCGTTTCTAAAGAACCAAAGAAAAGAAATAATTTTGGAAGCATTGATGAATTCATTGACATTTTACAAAGTCTATGTTAGGAGCTAAGTCCTTTGTTTATTCGGAAATGAAGATAACTTTGTTATACTGCATAGTAATGCTCAGATGCGACATAGATGTAGTATTTGAAGATAGCTTTACAGGAAGTTGCTACATTTTGGAATTAATAATAATAAATTTGGAGTAAGTGAACGTGTATTTAATAAAATGGAATCCGCAGGAGAAGAAGCATTTAGCGGAAGCAGACCTAGTTTAACGCGACGACAACTATCCGAAACGCAATCCGAACCGGATAGTTCGGAGCCGATGGTGATGGGGGGCGGCAGCAACAGCCTGCAGCTCCGTGCCATCGTGCAGGAACGGAACGTTGCATTCGCAGAACCAAAGATCAATGTGATACCACCTTCATCATCGAGCAGCGGCTGCATGTGCGGCATTGGCACAAGCTCGGCCGGCCCGGCGGTAGTCGCCGCCTCCGTCAGCTCCGCCGCCCCCGCAGGTAATTCAGCAGGTGGTGGTGTTAGTAATGGGAACGCGCAGCCACATAACCCCCGCTCGATGCTCATGTCCATGCACACAGAGTATACGAGCATCACCGACGAGCTGGAATCCGTTTGCGGACTCCTCAGTCCGCCCCGTACGCCCCGACTCCTTTCGCCCCCGAGACCCGGACAATCGGCCCCCGTACATAATCGTTAGTACATACATACATAATCATCAACAATTATGTTCATTTCTATCTTTCTTTCTTTTTTCACACATCCACGCATTCTTCCATTAGCATTATTCTGAAGCTAGGTCTCTACAGTTACCAAACTACATACAAAAAGTTATGCACAACTGAAGAAACCAAGCATCATCTCATGTTTCTCACACCTTCCTACTATCTACCTCTTCTCTCTCTCTCTCTCTCTCTATGTCTGTCTGTCTCTGTACCTCTATCTTTATCTATCTCTATCACAAAACAAATCTATAAAATGTTCTTATTTCTATCACCAAAACTCGCTCTTGAGGATGCTCTTTTAATGATATGCATGATGGTTTTAATGATAAGCAAGCATGCACCCGCTTTGTATGCGCAAATCTAACCTTCCTATACTAATCACTCTAATCAAAGGATTAAAAAAACAGAATTATTTTTATAGTTCAACCCGGTTTAAGTATATGCTTAAGCAGTCTACTCACTATACAATATTTAACAAGTAACTTCTAATCGCATACTTATACAGTTAGAGTAAAAAAATTAACACTTTGATATTATTACTAATCACATTCGTCACTAATTAATGAATAAAGTCGATTGGAGTATTTTAATTAGTAATAAATTTAAATACAGGAGTAGTTAAATAAAAATAAATAAATAAAAACTATAAAGTCACAACTATTCTTCATTTTCTTGTCAAACTTGAAAAATGCTAACAGTATATATTCATACAGTACATATGTACTTTGAAGCTAATTAAATTTAATAAATCTTCAAGTCTTTCCGAATAATTTATTTGTACAAGGAAAACCAACAGTATTTTTTATGTAAACCTTTATATTCTACATATATTTCTTGCACCAATTACCTGCGCCTATTATGTTACTTCTCTTTCAGGGCTTTCACATATTTGCAAATTAGGCATGACGCAGTCCTTGTAATATACACAATTTCTGTTGAGTTATTTGTATTTTCTTTTAAGTACTTGGGTGATGTTTTATTAACTGGGATCTTTATTTACATACGCTTTAATGAATATCTTGGATCAATTTCAGGTCATCGCCGTAGATGCGCATCCGAAATGTCGAATCCGGAGTTCGCTTTATTCATGGAGAAACAGCATCTTCGCAGTGCCGAGGAATACGATTACATGTTGATGGAGGATCTGATCCAAAGGAAGTACGACGAGGATGAGGATGAACCGGTCGAGCAGAATCCTGCTCTACTAACTGTGGTGCAGGAAAGCAGGGAATTCAGGAACTCCTATCCTGGGCGATCTCTGCGAAGAGCAAGTGCAATCGAGGATGACACAATGCTGCCGATAGTCTGCGTGAATCCCAGACAGGAATCGGAGGAAAGTTCTGAAAACATGCCACTGGTTCAACCTCTTCCTCCTAGACCGACGATCGTCGTCGACTCCTCACAGCTTCCCATACACGAGGAAGTCGTCAAGAAGGCTGACAGCAAGGCGAGCTTGCACATGCAATCGGAAACGATGTGTTGAAAACAACGAAACGAAACTAAACTGAAACGGTATTATTATTTGTTATCTGCATCTCCAGCGACGACGAAGCACAAAAAGAAAAAGTTTTTTTCGACGCCGGTTCCCTCCGCATACAAAGAACACCTTTTACCAAACCCGATCCCAACTCGAGAAAAGAATTGAAAATAAATTGAATAAAATCGACAATATTTTATAACTAGTCAGTAATTAAGTAACTTGATCTGTTTAATTTATTTCATTCTTTTTGTTTTTTATATATATATATATACATGTAAATTACATTTATATTAAAAGAAAATCTATATATGTATATGACTTAGTCGGCACAGATGAATCAACAATCAAATCGTTCCTTGATTTTGTATAGAGAAAATATATTATACATGTTAAGCTCAAGGTGAATCAATGATTTGATTATCGGGAATTATATTTTGGAGAATAGCAATATATCTGTGAAAGAAAGGGAAAGTAACAAAAAAAAAACAACTATGTGAATGGTTGAGATGTTAGGCGTTAAACATTGTAAGGAAAGAGAAACAAAACAAGAAAAAACATTATACACATATTTATTATTACCTTCTATTATATTATACTGTTGTGAGTGTGTGTTTTTAAAACTTATATACAAAAAAAAAATGAAAACAAAATTGAATGCGTGTGATCGAAACATGATTTTTACCTCTTAAGAAATATATCTTCATATGCATATCTTTATCCTCATATCCGAAAGAGTTGAACGACGCATGCAAAGATTCTGATTATCTGCTGAAACCTTTCGTATTTGATTGGATTAATGCTATTATTCCTTTTTTTTGATATTCTGATTTACCGTGTCTCCTATGATTTTGTTAATTGTAATGGCATGTCTGAAAGAGCGTACGTGATCAAACCAACAAAAAAAAGGAAATACCATGTCTCTTCTGATTGTTGGAATACAAAAATAATAATTATTTTGTCCTTTTATTTGCTGTTCTATTATTATGATTATAAAAGTAAATAAATATATTTTAAACAATTTTGATTATTTATTTATTGATCTAACCCGAAACAATATTTTTATATACATTGCCTCATTTGGTTAGGGTCTAATCTAGATTTTCTGGTTTTCTGCGGTAATCCTTCAGGTAAGTCTGGGCAATCAGCGGCTCCGGAACAGAAAACGGTTTGTTTGATGACAAAGTGAGGCTCATATCGTCGCGGACATAGATTTTTATTTGATGCTTTGGCAAGTACCTGCACTTCTGCGAGGAGGACGATAGCCCTGAGCACACGCTATTTAGGTGCTGCAGATGGGTTGGAAGGAAGCACGAGGCGGAGGCAGAATTGGGAGTTCTGCTAGAGCCAGAAAATATAATCAGTGAAATGCTGAAGAGTGTGGACAGCTGGAATATTGTAGCGGCGTACATATCAGAGGTGCTACTAAGCAAAGAAGAAGACGAGCGGAGGCTGCAGAGGTCCTACGAGGATAGTGGCAGTGGAGGCCAGCATTAACATGATGTAGGGCAGAGGTTCCCAAACTTTTTTGTGTCGTAAATCCCTTACCTGAATTGATTTTTTGTAAATTTATTATTTATATTGGGACATCTTTATAATTATTATGATCTTTGCTCTGAGACTGCGCGTATGCTTGTAACAAGATGATACTGGTATATCATTATGTGCAGTTTAAAATACAAAGCGAATGCCTACATCCTACAACTTACACAATTTTATAAACATATATAATATTTTTTTTACTTCATATATACTTTTATAAATAATGTATATATCTTTATATTGTAAGATAGTATAATGTAAGTAAATAGGTACTATCAGTGTATGTTGAGATCCACTATCGTGAACCCCCATTTTCATTTTATGGACCTCCAATTTTTTTTTTCTTTGACGGGGTCGATATAGACCACTTTGGTAATCATTGATGTAGGGGAAGGCAATGACAATAAGCATCGCAGAGTGGTATAGCGATACAGGTCCTGCATGCTGGCGAAGAAGGGGAGAGATTTTAGTGCGGTAAGAATCCACCCGTGGTCCCTATGCAAGGTTTCCTCTCCTCTACAAAAAAAAAGATTTTTATTTTAATCGAGGACTTCCAAACCGCATAAAAATAATTCACACAAATAGAAACTTGGCTTTATAAAGGAAATAAGAACATTTATATATAAAAAATAGAAAATTTCAAAACAATATTGTATGCAAACAAATGTTTTACCTCTGTTTATTTTTATGCGATTTTAAAGTCCTCAATTAGTCCGGTTTGAAACAGTCCGTGATATTGGAATAGATTACACTAATCGATTTCAAAAATTCACAAATTTCTCAAAAAACTATTGGTTTGTTTATTCAAAGCTTATTAGAAAATAATAACCTCGATCAAATTACATTTAATTACATGTCTTCTAATTATTTGTGTTTAATTTTTCTGATGCTCTCTCCTAAATTTAACTCGTTTGCATATACAGTGGCGAACTTGCTCCTGGAACGAATTAAGTTCGTTGTGTGAGGCACCACTGTACAAAATAAACACACAGGTAGGAATATTGCAACACGTAAAAGGCAAACATATTATTTTATAATCTCTTATCAAACGATATAGTGTATATGCACATGACTTTAATTATAATTAAATATGACATTATTTTATGGTACTTATTCAACAGAATCATTTAAGCAGACCTGTGTTAACGTTTTTATTTACTTTGTACCCAACTACATTTAATAATAGAATTAGAAAATCTTAATAAGCATATATTTTTTACGAGTGAAAAAAAACTTATAAATGTTTTATTGTAAGCAATATAATGTTAATATTATTATCGTGACAATTACAATAAAACATATTTCGTTACATACAAAGATTCAATAAAAATTTGTATATTATTTATTTAAACATATTTGTTGGTCACAATTCAAGTATTAATTTTCAATTTACAGAAAATCAACAATAATAAAAGTACAGTGGAACCTCGCTTAACGAGCGAATGAAAATGTAAGAAAAATTACTCGCTTAACGAGCGACGTTTCGTATAACGAGTGGCGATGATAAGAGAAGTCCCTGATTTTGCACCTGCTTCATTATTTTTAGAACTTGTGTACATATATTATGTGTATTTTTGAATATGTTTCACTATACGAGTATTTCACTATACGAGTAATAATCCGGAAATTTTGGAACGGATTAAACTTGTCAAGCAATACAAATAATTTAATTCATAATAAAATTGTGATGATTATAAAACATGTGCAATATAAATAGAAAATGAAAATCTTTGATGCAACACGTCTACGTTTTAGTGATATGAATACGACTTTCTTGCAAATTAAACATTGAGATAGAAATGTAGATGTTTAATTGTATGATTTTATTTCTAAATAATTTTAAGTATATAAAACCATTATTTGCATTAACATTGTAAATGACGCTTCGTTGCATAACAAATATAGAATATTTCTAGAACAAAATAATTTTCCATATAATTTATTTATATAAGGAAAATGTGATTCTTTAAAATATTTATTTAGCAAAATGAGTTTTGCTCCATTACCCAACTTATCAAAAAAACCATTCTATATAGTTAGCACGTATTTTCTTGAATTTACTCATCTTAATAGAATGCAGGAATATCAAATATAAAAAATTTGTAAAACAAAACTATCCTATTATAAATAATTATGTTTTTTTTAAGCTTGTTAAGAAAAATAAGTGTTGTTGAATTTTCCAACTTACCAATTATTACATATATTTTGAGATTAATGATATTTATGTTGAATTTATGTTATGTTGTTTAATGGTTATTTTTCAAGAAAATTTCAAATGAAAAAGCTATAATTTCGTAAATAAAACAACTGTTGCATCATGACTTGAAAGTATTACGTTTTGTGAAATATTCATTTTTGTTTTATAATAAAATAGATGTGTAGATGAATAGTTTAATACTTATTTTGATCAAATGAAGAATCGAAATTAAATAAGAATTGAAAAAATTTCAACTGTTTCATTATTTTAAATAAGTAAGAAAATGTGAAGTTGACAAAAATAAAGAAAAATGTATTGATTGAAATATTTTTTTTTTTTTTTAAATTTTCTATAAGAACTCAAAGAGTGAATAATAAAAAATGAAGTGTCTTTGTATTACGTGATAATATTTATCACATGATGTAATGCAGTTGCCGTATTTGTTTTACGATAAATGAAAGAAACTTATCTGTGCGCGTAAGCGCTGCATCCACCGGCGTTATTTTTTGTTCTAAATATATATTAGTCAGAGTACAGTAAAATCTCTTTAATTTGCATTCAAAATATACATTTAATTTGACTTCTATTGTCAGGTTCTGTCTTCTTTTTTTTCTAGACTTCGTTTAAGGAAATAATAATAATCACATCACAATAAAATTGAATACATTAGTGATTTCATATAAAACATAAAAGTTATTACTCATGCAGTGTATGCAGGTTTGTAGGATTATCAAGCATATTATTATTAAAAAATAATATAAATAAGTTTAATTAAAGCATTCAGTTTAATTTATTTGACTTCTGTTTATCATATTTAGGCTTTATATATTAATATTTTCTAGACCTCGTTTTAAGAAGTAAAAATTAACATCACAATATAATTGAAGATATTAATGATGTCATACAAAAAAGAAACCTTCATACTCTAGCAAAGTGTACGTTTATACGTATACGTATCAAATTTCAATTAAAGTAAATCGCTTTAACTTAGTTTATTAGTGATTTATGGTAAAATGAACGTTTCTACGATCATGTAGACATTAGTTCCAAAAATAGCGTACTGTAATTTGTATTTGCATATTGTACGTTAACCGAGCGCCGACTGTATATCCCAATTATTAAATCTATTAGTCGGAAAGTCCGGTATAAATTGTTTCGAAAACAAAGGACCGTTTAGTTTTCGTTTAAATGATCTATAATGCAATGAACACGAGAAACAAGCTATAATTAGAGATGATTAAGTAAATGCAGGGTCTAAACAAAATATGCG